TATAATAATAAAAAAATAAGAAATAGAGAGAGATAAAAAAATAAAGAAAATTAAGTTATAATTTTAAAATTGTTCACAAATCATATTTCACTTTATAGAGATTGCGCAAAAGATTGTTTACTTTATAGGGCGTCTAATAATAGCATATTATGTAACCAACGCTACCCCCTCTTTTTGTATAAAAGAAAAATTGTATCATCTCTCAGAAGAAATCATAAAAGTTTCATATATCAGCAAGAGATAAATATTTTTATATCAGCTGTCTTCCATCTTGTGGAAGCCTTAAAATGTATACGACGTTACCAGCTGTGTTATACTATGTAGTTACTATCTCAAAGAAAACAGATAAAGGTACTAAGTATCTGTATTTCATTATAAAGAGCACTTCTACTTGAAAGGTACTTAATACTTAAGATAATTAATAAATAGTGTGTGGATTATAGAGAAATATAAAAATTATTTTACGAAAAGAATTTTGTGAATCTAAATAAAGACCTAGATTAGAATGACAGCCAAAAGCTGCATAAAAATTGTACATATTGGAACATTTTACGCAGTATACTTTTAAAAATCTTTAGGGATTGCCGAAGACATGCAATTTAACTAAATAAAAATGTTAATTAATTTAAAAATCAATAAATAAAATATGATAAAGTAGTGCTTGGCTCATAGTTCTTTATCTTGTCTTTTTAATATACAATTTAATTCTAGTAACAATATATTCAAACAATTTAATTATAAATTCCTAACGCTGCTACCAATATTTTTATGAAAGCTAGTCCCAAATTAATTCAAATTTTTAATTAAAATACAATTATGTGCAAAAGCCACATCGCTCGTTTATACTGCACGTCAGTTAAAATCAACTTGCAAGTTCGGTCCGCGACAGTGATTAATAAAATATTATACAATCCTGGCTCACAATTGTGAAAGGGCCAAAGAGTCCTAGATGTTAAGTAAATCGATTTCTCTCGTTTCTCTCCCTCTTTCTCGCCAACTTTCTCCCCCGTTCGGGTGCATACGCCGCCACCACTACTACCCTTGCTACCCGACGATCAACCAAGATGCCTGGCCTGCGTGAACGAGACGGGCGCAACCTGTAGCTGATCCTGACCGACGCGCCTCCCTCCGGAAATTTAGCCACGCTCTCAATCCTCAAAGCGCTTCTGCTCAGTGCCATTCTTACCGTGCGGCTGTTTGCGTCGTCAGCCTTTTGCCGAGGAAAACCCCGGCCTGCCTTGCACGACCTGCGGATTGTCGTCGGCGGCTACGGCAATGAGCGTTGGATGCAGATATATTGTTGATGCAACGAGGGACAAATCGCGCACGGAACGCCGCGACGCAACCCTTCGGGGGTGACCATGAACGGTGCCGGCTTACCGAGCTGTCGCGTCGGGGTGAAATTCTGACGATGCGGCGATTGTAAGCTTAATATATCATCCATGTGCATACTACAAACGGAAATGTTAAAAATGTGCAGACACTGTCGAGAAAGGAGAGAAGAGCTGAACCATGAGTGAATGAGAACTACGTTTATTGGTAAAGGATGCGCGATTAACGACTGTCTGTGATTAGCGATCGTCGACGACGAGGGTTATTCTTTTAAGAAATGAATATCAGATATATTAAGTACTGAACGTTGAGTGCGATCAGAGAAATGTGAGTATCTCCATTTTCTATAGTTTAAGTAAATCTAATGACAATTTCTCACAATTGTACGCGATAAATATAAAATACGTAATGTTATGTAAACTCAATAATTATATAGAAGAATAATTCATCAATAAGTAAAACGTTATTCTAAACTTTAAATTGCTCGTATTTCTCCCTTATTCATATTAGATATTAGTATTTCGCTCATTAGCATTTTCATTGAACCATATCTCTTGTTAAATGATCGAGTAGGGTCAATGTTCTATTACGAGGTGCTCTTTATATATGCATGTTCTTCAATGCACATACACATGCATGATTGTGTATTTGTGCACACAGCAATAAAAATTTCAATTTTATATTGAATACCGTGTATACAAAAATTAAAATAAAAATTTCAATTTGACATTAATTTATTTCTTTTAATTTTCTTATTTTCTTATTAAATTTTATAAAATAGATTTCTATTTCTTCCAATTTTCTTATTTTTTGCAAATTTGCAACAAAAATTTAAAAATTTTAATAAAATGTAATGTAGATATAATTATGAAAGTTAATGAGTGCAAAATATTGCAAATTAATATACAATAGATTAAAGAGATATATATTTTGTGAAGATTTATATTTATAGAATTATTATATCC